GACATTGCAACCGTCGTAAATATGAGCCGAGCGCCCAAATTTCGATCATGTAACCATGGCTGCAATGGTCGTAAGTGTGAAATAATGGCCGTAAATCCCTTTTTTTTTCCAGTGCCGTTGCCAGTTCAAATCATGGTCCTGAGTGGAGGTCTAGTGGAGATTCAGTCTTAAAGGCTCAGCCCCCCTTCTTCCTCCCCCCACCCCATGCAAATTCACCTGGCCAGGTTAAGCAGGGCCTTGAGAACCCACCCACCCTGCTCAAAACAAACCAGGCTTCTTACCGTGTTCCAGAAAGACGTTGCAATGGGTGCCCCCTTGCTTTGAGGGTGCTTCCTTCTTCACCCCACCTTTGATAAAGTGCAAGGCGGGAAGACTCGGCCTCCGTTGCTCGCCCAGGACTTTTCCAGGTTGCTGACCCATAGATTTTTTTCCTCCCACGGGACACACAGCCCGGCTTCCCTAACAGGGCAGGGAAATTTCAGCGTCGCCTTTCAAAGGGGGAAAAAAAAAAAAAAGCACGCTTTTCTCTCGCTCTCTCGTTCTTCCTTTCAGCCCCGCGTAAATTTGCAAACTTCCATCCGGTCAGCAGGCCGGATTTTAAAGGGTCCAGCTTCGCTCCGTCTTGCAACTTCACCTGTGGTAAGGTGAGCTCATCAGATTGGACAAAGACAGCCACAGAAAAGTCCCTTTTTTCTGGCATAGTGCAGGCCAAGTCCCCGCGGCTTCAAGTATTTATTCCAACGGAATCAAAACAGAGTCCAAGAATTGTACTTGTTTTTGTTTTGGTCGTTCACCAGCCCTGCATAAAAGCCCCCAAATTGTCATCTGTAACAGGAAGGCAAGAAAAAGGGCATAGTTCAGTTCTGTTAGGTCCGATGCAAACATTTATGGGCCCCACCATCATTCGATTGTTGTTTCTGCCCCAATTCTGTTCTTTGGACATTTCCTAGGAAGGTAAATTGAGAATTGATGCGGGGGGAGGAGGCATTTCAAGGACCAAACCGTGAAAAAGCGGCGATATTCGCAGATAAATTCAATAAACCCAGCCACGATCGGATGTATCTGAGAAGAAAAACATTTGTAAGTGCTTGAAGGAAGGAGGAGGTTAGTCCAAAGAGACGGAAAGCGAAAGAGGTGAAAGGAAGCGTTGCCATGAAGGGTCATCTCAGGTCAGTGCTGGCCAGGTTGTCCTCAAAAGCAGGTGTTTGGGGAGGGGGATCGGTCAGCTCTTGAAGATGGGGGTCCAGCGTCATATCAGCAGCGGCAGGAAAAGACAGGAGAACTTGGAGCCTGAGAATGGAGGTCTGAAGGGGTCCCCTCGAATTATGCTGTGGGAGGTTAAAGGAAAAAACAGGATTGGGAAAAAGTGGGGAAGAAGGAAGGAAGGAAGGAAGGAAGGAAGGAAGGAAGGA